CCCCCCCAACCCCACCCCCCACTGGGTTCAGTTCGACTCAGCTGAACCAGAATTTCTCCCCTCTCCTCGTGGCTGATCCGTAAATCCTGCACTCAAACTGTGGCTGCAAGAAAAGTGTGGATCTTCTCAGACCTTTGAGCCGTGCTTCCAAACCAGCTGARACTTGTTCCTGTCGTTCCCGCAGGGAGGGGAGCACTGCTACTACCAGGGCAGGCTGAGAGGCCTGCCTGAGTCCTGGGCTGCTGTCTCCACCTGCCRCGGCCTGTGGTGAGCTCACAGGAACATTTTACTTTTTATAAAATGCACCTTTATTTTCTTCTGAATTTGACACATTTAGCCATTTTGGTGCCTTGCAGCGGGATGTTCTCCGATGGTTTCTTCTCTTACGGAATTGAACCGCTTCACAACGACAGCAACAAGGTGAAGGTTTAGTTTTAGAAAATATCTGCCAAATAGAACATTTTGTACCAAGCTGTGGCTTTAGATCAATGTAAAATGATTGTTCATTGTCATAAAATGTGGGTAATTGTGTTTTTTTATCTGCCTGTTAGTAAAATAACTAAAAATAAATCTACTACTTGTACAACATCGACAAACTCTTGATGCATATTGTGGTTTGACTGTAACAATATTTAAAATTATAGAAATAATTACATAAAGCTGATGCATTTATCTGCAGTTCTGCTTGTTATTATGTTTATTTATTTCTTTTAGGATGATGGTGCTCACATAATTCGCAGGATGCCAGATATTAGACTTTCCCCGTACTGTCAAGGTACGCAGAAGTCCTTTAAAGCCCTCATTTTTATTTTTTATTATAACTCTTTAATATACAGGCATGATTGATTTATTCAAAAATAATAAAACAGTGTCATCTGTTGTTTATTGTTAATCAAATTAAGCAATTTTAGGACCAGTTAAGATGAAAAACAGATAAATTTTTTATTGCTTCATTTGTAATATAACCTTACAATCACATCACACTAAGACGGTTTTTATTTTAGTTTATAGAGACTATTAGAGCCACAGTGGAAAACAATATATAAACTTTTATTCTGACCTTTTTTTTAGATTTCTGAGGGAAAAAATGAGAATTTTGACGTTTATCTCAGAATTCAGAGGAAAAATGTCAGAATGTGGGAAATAAAGTAAAGTTTCACTGCAACCCTAAACTTCTGTAATTTTAATTTAGCATCTGATTTTAATTTGTTTTGTTGAGAAATTGCTCTTTACAGTGCTTTGATGAATATAACTGGTTGTGAAACAGAAACGTTTTAATAAATATATAAATATTTATTTTTATGTTAGAAAATCTTTACATCAGTCAACAAACATTTGGAGCAAAATGTAATTATTAAAAACAACATAATGTCCAGTAAAGTGACGTATAGTGTTTGTGTGTCCAGACTGTGCAGAGGACAGTGAGCAGGACAGCAGTGGAGGTGATGGTGACAGCGTCACAACTAACCGTACGAGGAGTCAACACCATGATGGGGTGCTGAGAAGATCCAAGAGATTTGTCAGGAAACCTTCCGTCCAAACTGAGACCAAATATATTGAGCTGATGGTGGTGAACGACAACGATCTGGTGAGTTTGTACATCTTGTCTTTTCCACTCCTGTTATTTTTTTATTAGGAAACAGAATATAAACCCAACATGGATCTGATGTATTGGAGCGTTAAAATCATGCAAATTAAATTTGAATTTTCTGTGAAAATGCAGGGTGAACGCTAAATGCCGAAAGATTTTTTGGGGAAAAAAAAAGATGGACATAAATGTTGTCATTTGTTGTAAAATTAGCAGAAAAATACCTGAAAGTTTCATCTTATTACTGCTTGATTCAGCAAACATGCTGTTTCTGCTTCTTTGTGCTAGATTAGCTTTATAAAAACATGTGATTTTAACTTAAAAAATGCTAAAATTATCTGAAATAGCTAAAAAGTTGCTTAAATTGCAGACAACAGCTGAAAGAAGCATAAAAAGTTTAACATGTAGGAAAGAAGCTGATAGAAATAAAAAGATTGAAACTAGCAGAACAGCTGAAAAGAGCAGGAAACATRGATGGCAAAACAGGAAAAAGCCCAAATTAGCTGAAATAGTTAAAAGACAGCTTAAATAGCAAATAAATAAATAACCAAAAAAGCTGGAAGGATCACAAAAACCATAAAATAGCAGAAAAAGCTGATAGAATACAAAAAATTTAATCAGCAGAACAGCCGAAAAGAGCAGAAATATAGCTGACTCATCAGGAAAATGCTAAAATTAGCTGAAATAGCTAAAAAAATGTTCAAATTGCAGACGGTTTCTGAAAGAATCATAACAACCTTAAAATAGCGCAAAGAAGCTGATAGAATAAAAATAAATAAATCAGCAGAACAGATGAAAATAGCAGAAAGATAGCTGAAAAATGCTAAAATTAGCAAAAAAGAAACTGAAGGAAGCTGAAATTAGCACAAAGAAACAAAAATAGGACCACAGGTTCTTCATTTTTAATGAGAAGAAAAAATGTTTGAAAAGGCTAAATATCTAAAAAAGTATAAAATGGTGAAAAACTAAAATTGTAGCAGGAATGTCATAAAGGAGCTAAATGTTTTGATGTATATAAACTGTTGAAATTGCACAAAATTTGCAGAAATGAGATCAGTATGTGCTGAAAAATGTGGGGGAAAAATGTAACCTAATAGTGTGAATGTTTGATAAAAATTCACACAATAAAGCTAAAACCTGCCCACATGATGGAATCCAGTAAATCAAAACATGTTTTTATTTATAGACACTCAGTCAATAAAAGCATTAGATTTATTTCTCATGTCTCTATGCATCTGAGTGTTTGTAACTGAGCCATCTGCGGGTGTTTCTCTGCAGTTTGTACAGCTGCGTCGCTCCAGCAGCCAAACCAAGAACTTTGCCAAAGCTGTGGTGAACACGGCCGATACGGTAAGAACCATGAAGCCTGCGGCCGCTCAGAACACAAACCTCCACTTCCACTCACCTCCGCCCGTCAGGTTGTGTGTTCTCGTTCGGGAAAAGGTCCGACCTCCCGACGTTCACGTCAGCCAAGCTGATGGGCGTCTTTGTGCTCCTCAGATCTTCAAGGAGCAGCTCAACACCAGGATCGTGCTGGTGGCTATGGAAACCTGGAGCTCTGAAAACATGATGCCGGTAGTGGAGGACCCGCTGGTGACGCTGCAGAACTTCATGAAGTACAGAAAGGACAGCGTCAGGGAGCAGAGCGACGTCGTCCATCTTTTCTCGTATGACAACCACAGACCAAGACATTTTATATATACAGCGGGTAAAATAAGTATTGAACACGCCACCATTTTTCTCAGTAAATATATTTATATTTTATATATTTA